GCAGCCCAAACAAATATCTTGTTAGTGCTGTCAACGGGTCAGTCAGGCATATCTAATAGGCGATAGACCTGAACCATATCAATCCAATTACATGGATATGGGTAATACGAACTAGTTATATATAATTGTATCTATATTAACATATTAAAAAGATACGTAGTGTAATTCCTATTTTTCTCATAATATATTTGTACATTATTTAAGCCCAGTTCGCTTTCTGGGAAGTTACTTATCTATGTTCTTTTATTTTCTAGTTATATAAGACAATGACCATTTTAACTATAAAAAGGGATTACTAAAAGGGATAATTTTGACCATCCAAGTATTGACAACTTTACCCTCAAGTGGGAAAATTAATTGCCCACCCAAGATATGGTACCCAAGAAAAATAAAATTTTCTATGAATCTCACATAAGTCTAAAAAAAGAACATATGTATAATCCCGTTGACCAAATAAAAAAAAATGACAGCTCTTATTGTTATAGTAAATTTTTTGCTTGATAATGGCATAAGTAGTTAGGACTATATCGAATTTACCCCTTTTTTCATATTTACTTATACTATGTTCATATCAAATGTGCAATGTAGTAATAAATAGGTTAATCGATGAATTGCAAGTTAAAAGTATAACTGTCAATTATAATTGGGTCTTATTCGGAAGGGCTTGGCTTTCATGCCGTAGCTTTTTGACTTTCAGAGTTAGGGCTTAGGTGGAAAGCTTATAACACTTTTTTGGTGAAAAATCTTGATGACTAAAATTGGTCGTCCATTCACATGGTTCTCCGTTGAAGCCTATTCCAGTAGCTCCTTCAAAGCAGCTACATACAAAGTAAGATAAAGCTAAGTCATCCCAAACAGTGCTTACAAATGTTAGCTTTAATGCTTTACCACCTTTCAGCCGAAACTTTTGATGATTTTTAAGTTATCTCTGATTTTTTTTTAAAAGCTTCAATTTTAAATTAAATCAATCACGTTAAAAATATAAAGTGGCATGTGAGATTTCACTTTATCATTGATTTACATTTCTATTTTAAACCGCATTTTCATGACATCTGGATTATGTATTGAAACCAGATTCATGTAAAAATTGGAGAGAACATTGATTTGATTGATTTTATTCCAGACAAAGAACCAATATTTTACTTAGCCTTAGCAAAGTATCAGACCAAATTGGAATGAAGCAAACTCAATAAAGGCAAGACTGATATTGCGAAACAAACAAGTATTTTTTTTTTTTCTTTTGTTTTCGACTTCCATGGATTAGGAGGGTTACCTCATGTTTATTGCTGTGTAAAGAATTTCGTGGGTGGAAGTCGCCACTATAAAGGGAATTCGTGGATGCAAATCAATCAGTCTCTTCTCTTTATTTTTTGTTTTAGAATTATGAGTCTATTTGGTTGGTAGTTAGAATTGGAATGGTCTATTCTGATTGTTTATTTGGTTTAGACAAGAATTAGAATGAGAATCTGAATCAGTTAGAATGAGATTTTATTCTCAAGGGAAAGGGAGGTTCCTTAAAATGGGAGAATGTCATTCCGCCAGAAATAGAAATGGGATTTCAATTCCATCCAACCAAATAGTTGGACTCAGACCTTTATTCCTGTGAGCCAAACAAGTCCTATATGTCTGATCATCTTTTACTCTCTCCAATGTCATCTCAAGTAAGAAATGATTAATGAGTCCAAAAACCTCTGGTTTGGGGCATTTCCATTTGGATATTGGTAGATCTGTTTTTGGTGCATGGCACACCCTTTTTTTTTTGTGTGTGTATGAAAAACCACTACAAAAACATCCGCAGTGCCAAATACAATCATAGTAACCAACTGAGTGCTGGCTCATTGGTGTATTAGCTGGTTTGTTCCAGTATTGATGCGAAATTGAATCCCACAACCAACACTTTGGGGAAAAATGGGGTCAAGGGAAAGTTATTAATGGTGCATGGCACCGAATACCAAAAAAATACAATCCTAATGAATCGATTTATTAGTTGATTAATGATTGATTTAACGATATTTCTTGTGGTTGTGTTTGGTTTGAAGGAAAAGTTGGGGAAAAGAAGGAAAAAGTAGGAGTCTCAATATTCCTCTATCTACTCTTTATTCATTAAAATAATTTTTGATTTAAGAGTTCTTTCTCAATTCAGTACTTAGAAGGCAAATGTTAAGCCAAATTGAAAACATGTCTAATCCAGGGGTCCTACTCTAGTAGGCACAATATAGTAAGTACCTTCAATGAGTACTTGATAAATATTCAGACAATTGTTAAAAGTGAGTTTTAATCTTTTTCCATGGCAGGCTGGGGTCATTTAGAGTATATGTAAGTGCTCATTGAATATGTTTACAAACTTGTGTCTACCGGATCCGTCTCCTAATTCCTGTGGGTCCTTTATATGATGGATTCAGATTGACCACACAATACTTACACGTGGCAGATTTAAATGGCTTTTTGAAGTTCCCTATTTTTCTTTTTTTACTTTGTTTCCAAGTATATGAATAATAATATTTTTTATTTAAATGTTTCGTAAATTGTAAAAATATCTAGAACACAAAAATCTCTTTTTTTGTCAATTACCTAATGGTGTTCGAGTCTTTTTTTTTAATATAAGAATGTCTATTTCAGTAATTTTGTTCTTTTACAAGCTAATCTTAATTATGGAGATGAAGGCAATATGAACCTTGGGTATTATAGTAGGATTAAGATGCCTAGATCCATCGCAAGCAACAACTCTGAGCACACAGTATTCAGCTGCACTGCTGCACAATAGAAATATCTCCCATACATGAATCTTGCCAATGTGCAGCTGGATGCTCGTGCTTGGTAGAGTGTGTGCAGAGTTTTTATTAGCAGATATTGTGAAAAAAAAAGCCAAATAGAGAAAGCTGGGTAATGACACGGTGCAGCATCAACATTGCATCATATACAATATTTGTCAATCTTGGATCAATCATGAAATAAAAAATATACTGTCTTGACAAATATTAGGGCAAAACATTTTATTATTTTTAATATAAGTTTTTTTATATGTGTGCTTTTAACCAAGGTTTTCAAAGCCGATCTAGACAACGAACCGGTCAGGGGTTCAGTTCTTGTGTCGAATGGTCCGATTAGTCAGCCCGTTCTGACAAAAAAAAATAAAAAAATTAAACAAAAGAAATCGGTCAAAACCGTTGAACAATTCAAAGTGCTCGAACGGTTCAATCGCTAGGGTCAGTGGTTTGCTGACCAAATCAACGTTTTTTTTGCAAAAAATCCGGTTTTGGGGAAAAATGGAAACTGTCACCTAACTGGTTTCTGATTTTTCCGGTCCCGTTTTGAAAACCATGGTTTTAACCCATTTTTACCTTCCATTTGGTATCACTTATTTTAATTACTTATTTGAATAAATACATGAAATAAATGGTGGGATCACATAATAAGTGGTAAATAAGCAGTTAGTTGCATTTGGTCAAAAGGAATAAGTGCTTATTTTCAAAATAAGAACTTAAAAAATCAGCCTAAGGGCTCCTTATTTAATCGCTTATTCCAATTCTTTTGGGACAAATCTGTCCCCATTGTTTATTTTAAAACCTCATAAACCATCTTCTCCATTTGAACTCCAACATGCACCAGGGGTGGCAACAAGTGACTATAGGCTGAGAAATCATTCCATTGTAAGTGAATCTCCTCTATTTTTCTCCATTTTGAGCAACTTTTCATGGCTATAGTTGTTATTTCTGCAAATATAATTACTTATTGGTTAAGGGGTTTACCAAACACAACAATCCAAATAAGTACTTACAATAAGTTTAAGTTTATATGATTTGAAAAGAACTTTTTAAACATTAATAAGTACTTATTTCTTAAACCACTTATTTGCTAACCATAGCCTTATAGTCAGAAAACACAAAATCCTAATTTTTTCCTTTGAAAGGGTTAAAGTTTTGGTTGAACTGATTTGGAGAAGTTATTAAGAGTTCATTTGGGAGGGGTTCAGCTTTGATTGGACTGCATTGATTAAGCTGCTTTGTAAAAGCTACTAAATATTTTAGTATAATTGGAAATTCGATGTTTCAGCTGAAATAAGGCAGATTTGAGCATTTCAAAGTTTTCATAAGACATAGTTTTAGGCTTTTCATGTGGGGCCCACCTACCAAGGCCAAAAGATACTGCATGAAAGCCCTTCCAAACAGGCACTAAGATTTTCACTGAAAAGCCCTTTTTTTTTTCGAAATAACATAAATTTGGAATTTGGGGGATCCTCCACAAGGTGACCAGATGTTGTTTTTTTATGCAATCCAGGTGGAGACCACCTTGTAAGGTCCAGAAACTGTACCATAGGAAAGCTCTTCCAAAACCCATTTGGGAAAGCTTTCACATAGCAGCTTTTGACTTACGAGGTAGCACACGAGACCATCAGACCAAGGCTTTGTGCCGTCCGGTTTTGAAAACCATGCCCGAGACAGCCTGTAAGCAATGTTTGGTGAGAAGTGAAAATCCCTGACAAACAGTTTGGTGAAAGAAGCTCAATGAAAGCTTCAGTCATCCCAGATGGGCCATTAGGCTTTGTGCTTTCATGTTTGAAAGAGTGTGTTTTTTGGCTTAATTTTGCTTTCCAAAGAACAGAAGCAAAAGCTTAACCAAACGCAACCTATACAAAGAAGATCAAACGGTGGAGAGATTTTGCACAATTTATTTTTGCATGCGCAGATGCTGCTGGTAACATTGCTAAATAAGCCGGCAGAAAATAAAATAGAAAAATCTAATCACGGCGACCGGCGTAGATAAGATGACTTGCTGCACGTGTCGGAAAACGGGGTTTGACTTTCATCTATCTCTCGTCGACATATATAGAATAGAAGGCCGTAACCCAAGAAAAAAAATATATATTAGAAGTCTCGGGCCGTAGTAAAGGTAAAACAAACCAATGTTCTACCGGCTATATCCGGTGGCTCAAAAGGTTTCTCGGTGACCGTTCGTCACTGCCCGCCGCTCCTTCCCCAGTCGGCCAGTCCCCACCCGACTAAGAACAAGATATAGCCAAAAGAGTTTTCGTTCTCTCTCTCTCTCTCTCAAGCAGAGAACAAACAAAAGAGAAAACCTCGATCAGAGTTTCAGACCCAATAAACGGTCGAAGTCAAAGCCCATCTGTGTATAACACCGTCCCTCCTTCTTTCTCTATCCACCAACCTGACAGGTTTGCCTTTGCCATTCTTCCATTCTTCTCTTCTAGTTGTCCTCTTGAACAAAAATAAAAAAATTGAGTCTGCGAATCCTCCTCTTGAATCTTCTTTTTCTTCGGTTGAAAATTTGTTCCTTGGTCTCATCTTGATGTACATGGAAGAAACTGGAAAACCCAGTTCAGAACTATTGAGAATTCAAGTGGGTTTTGCTGGACATCGGTTTCTGTTCTGAAATCATCCCTTTCTCCTATTAATTGGCTTAGAGGGTTTTCTTTGTGTATTTAGAGATGGGCGTTGGAGGTTTCTGGGTGCTTGTTATTTTTCTATGGTTTTGTTTCCAAATTCAGGTCTTGAATTCTCAGAAGGGGTCCTGCAATCCAAATGACTTAAAAGCATTGCAGGGTTTCTTGAATGGTTTGGACTCAGGGATTCCTGGGTGGAGTAGCAATTCATCTACTGATTGTTGTGACTGGGTTGGCGTTCGGTGCGAGGAGGTGAGGAGTTCAACGAGTTCTGAAGAAAGGGTAGTAAAATTGGATCTTGGGAATAGAAAATTGAAAGGTAAATTATCCGAGGACTTGGCTGGTTTGGATCATCTGCAGTCTCTGAATCTTTCTAACAATTTGCTCAGAGGTACTCTTCCGCCCAAACTGTTCCATTTGCAGAGTTTAAGGGAGCTGGACTTAAGTTATAATGACTTGTATGGCTTGATGCCGGTTGATATTGATCTACCCTTCCTCAACGTTCTCGACCTGTGTGGAAACTCATTGAAGGGTGACATTGCCACGGGTATCTGTAAGACTGCCACTCAAATTCAATCCATCGATCTCTCCATGAACTATTTCAATGGAAGTATTCCCGCAGGTTTCGGTAATTGTTCTTCTTTGCAGAATCTCAGTCTCAGCTCGAATTATCTTTCTGGGAGTTTGCCCAACGATTTATTTTCACTGCAAAAGTTGAGCCGGTTGTACCTTCAGGAAAACATACTCTCTGGGTCGCTCAGTGATGGAATCGGTAAGCTTTCAAACCTGGTTGAGTTGGATATCTCCATGAATGGGTTCTCGGGACCTCTCCCGGATGTTTTCAATAAGCTTGGTCAATTACAACGTTTTTCAGTCCATTCAAATAATTTTAATGGTAGTTTGCCCGATTCGTTGACGAAATCCCCCTCACTCAACCTGCTTAATCTTCGGAACAATTCACTGAGAGGTCCAATTAGTTTTAATTGTTCATTCATGGTTAACCTTGCCTCCCTTGATCTCGCTTCTAATCGATTTCAGGGCCCCCTTCCTGATAGTCTCTCCTCCTGCAAAACATTGAGAAACGTAAATCTTGCTCGTAACAATTTCACGGGTCAGATCCCTGAGAGCTTCAGGAACCTTGAGGCCCTCACTTACCTTTCGCTCTCAAATACAAGCCTGAGTAATATTGCAGCTGCTCTTGAGATTCTACAACATTGCAAAAGCTTGACTACATTGGTTCTTACGCGGAACTTCCGAGGGGAAGAATTGCCTGGAGATATGAGTCTGAATTTTAGTGGCCTGAGGGCTCTAGTCATTGCTTCTTGTAGCCTCACCGGTTCAATCCCAACATGGGTGAGAAGCAGCGGAAATTTACAGTTATTGGATCTATCATGGAACCGATTGCATGGAACCATTCCAAACTGGTTGGGCGAGCTAAAGTTTCTCTTTTACTTGGATTTATCTAACAATACGCTTTCTGGAGAGATCCCTGAAAGCTTGACTAATCTAGAGAGCCTCATCAGCCGCAATATCTCACTCGAAGAACTCTCCCCTGACTTTCCCTTTTTTATGAAACGAAATCAGAGTACAAGGGCATTGCAGTATAATCAGATTTTGAGCTTCCCTCCATTATTGGACCTTAGCTATAACAACCTCACTGGACCGATCTGGCCAGAGTTTGGAAAACTAAAAAAGCTCCATGTCTTGGATTTGAAATGGAACAATCTCTCTGGATCCATTCCCAGTGAGTTGTCGATGATGTCAAGCTTGGAGACCTTGGATCTGTCCCATAACAATCTATCAGGAATTATACCCCCTTCTTTGGTCAATCTCAGTTTTCTCTCCAAGTTCAGTGTTTCTTTCAACCACCTGTCTGGAAAAATACCATTGGAAGGTCAGTTCCTAACCTTCCCAAATACAAGCTTTGAAGGCAACCCGGGTCTTTGTGGTGAGCACTATTCCCCTTGTCATGATGATGGTTCTAATCAGATTCCTCTTGCTTCACCTGGCAAACAAAAGCTAAACAAAGCGAGTATTATTGGAATGTCAATTGGAATTGCATTTGGGACAATCTTTCTTCTCACACTCATGTTCTTGATCATGATAAGGACGCATGGCCGGAGGAATGAAGATCCTGAAAAAGAGGACATTGATGCCAAAAACAAGGATCTTGAACAATTGGGATCAAAATTGGTGGTTCTGTTCCAAGATAAGGATAACAATAAAGAGCTCTCCATTGATGACCTGTTGAAATCCACCAATCACTTTGACCAAGCTAATATTATAGGGTGTGGAGGCTTTGGTCTTGTATACAAAGCTACCCTTCCATATGGGAAGAAAGTAGCAATCAAACGCCTCTCTGGTGACTGTGGTCAGATGGATAGAGAATTTCAAGCTGAAGTACAAACCCTTTCAAGAGCACAGCATGGGAACCTTGTCCTCCTTCAAGGTTATTGCATATATGGTAATGACAGGCTATTAATCTATTCTTACATGGAGAATGGGAGCCTGGACTATTGGTTACATGAGAAGATTGATGGGGCTTCCTCACTAGACTGGGAGACAAGGCTTCGAATAGCTCAAGGGGCTGCAAGGGGCTTGGCTTACTTGCACCAATCCTGTGAGCCTCATATCCTACATCGGGACATCAAGTCAAGTAACATCCTTCTAGATGAGAACTTTGAAGCACATTTGGCTGATTTTGGACTTGCTAGGCTTATATTTGCTCAGGACACCCATGTTTCCACAGATCTAGTGGGGACACTGGGCTACATTCCTCCTGAATATGGCCAGGCTTCAGTTGCCACTTATAAGGGAGATGTTTATAGTTTTGGTGTTGTTCTCCTGGAGCTTCTCACGGGGAAGAGGCCTATGGATATGTGCAAGCCAAAAGGGTGTCGGGATTTGATTTCATGGGTGCTTCAGATGAAGAAAGAGAAGAGGGAAACTGAGATTTTTGATCCATTCATCTATGACAAGGAAAATGACAAGGAAATGTTAAGAGTTCTTGAGATTGCTTGTCTTTGCTTGAATGAAACCCCTAAAGCAAGGCCTTCAACTGAGCAGATAGTGTCTTGGCTTGATGATATTAATCTTGATGGCTGACTGACATATGAATCCAAGTGCAATTGTTCTTGATGGCTTCTGAAATCACCATCAATGGTCTGGTTTTGAGCTTCCTCTTGGACTAGGCCCCCAGCTTCTGCAATGACTCTGATATTGAATGGAGATCTGGTTGTAAATACTTATCTATATTCTTTAATCTTCAGAGTTTTGTTTCCTGACATGAAGGAGAGCAATCTAACAAAGACGGAGAAAAAAATCTCAAAATTTGTAAGTTTCATATTTTATATTAGTTTTTATTTGTGCTTTAGATAAACGGTGCTTCTCAAACATGTGTAAAATAAAAATACTGAAATTTTCCTTATATTACATTTGTCAATAGTTGTTACGGTTCTATAAACATCATTTTTTACTAGCTTTGTGCTTTTGACAATGTTTAGCTCTTTATATAATATATCTAGCTAACCTCCAAGTGCCAATTAACCAGTTTCAAATATCAGTACAGCATTTACTAATCTTCATCAGTCCAAGACTGAGAAATTTTCCATTTCTAACATGGCCTGGTGAGTTGGTATTGTGTTGCCAAGCTAAGTTAATTTTCAAGAAAATGATTGAATCAAATTGCAGCTTGGTTGTTGTCGGAACATCCTCTTCATTGGATTGAACTGAATGGGTTATGTTAAAGTTCTACAAACTAAACATTAAGCCAGTTTGCCAATTTGAAATAAAAAAAAGGAAAAAAAAAGCAGCTGAGACAGTTATACCTGTTGATTCCTTTCTAATTGTATTTGTAGCTTTCTAAGACCTTGGGGATAGATTTTATCTAATTAATTAGTGCATTCATATTTGCTCAGTGATACCAATTGTTTATCTTTCAAGTAGCAGGTAATTTTCTCAAGCTTCAATGATGCACAGTGCACCTATATCTAATAAGAACTCTTGGATGGTTTCTAGGTTCTGAGATTCTTAATATTCTTTTATCTTCCAAGACTAAAATTACTCCATATATCTTCTTGATGCAAAACTATGGTTTTAAACAAAGAACTTTGTGCAGTTAAACAAAGAATTTTCTAGGTTACCTTTTTTTTGCTGAATATTTTCTGTTCTTCAAAAACTACGGTTATAATTATGATAGGAATTTATGTTCTGAGTTCTTAGCACACTTGCGGATTAGTTATGCTATGCCATATTGCTCATTTTCTGTTTTTCTTAACCTTGTTCCTGTTCAGTACTTACTACTGCTGTTTTAGGTGTTTGTATTGATTGGTTTTAGTTGCAGATTTTTTTATCCCATTTTTATTTTTTTCTCTCTTGCCTTATTGAAGAAAATGAGGATGAAGAAAAAAAAGTGAACTGTCATTTAATAGGTAAAACCCTGCACACAGGACCTTTTGGTTCCATCCATTTACCTGCTTTATTGGTATAATCACAAGAAATTCGGAATGTCTCTACAATCAGTTCTAGTAACAATAAATCCAGAATGGATGAAATACAGGGAAGGGCGTAGCCCGTCTTGCCGCTTATCCCTGAGAAACCAACCCATAATAATAAACTATACAAGACATAAATCAATCAATATGTAAACGTGGCAAGAAGAGCAAATAATCAAAATAAAGCATCCGGATATGAGTCGGAAGGCACTAACGATCTGTGCTAGACTCCGAAGCCAGACCAGCTTGTAATTTAATGCAACAGAATTTGAAGTATCTACTTCCCAAGTGAAATTGGTTGACTGCTATTGTAATTAATAGTGATTTTATCATGAAACTCTGTAGAAAATTGCAGATTATCATAAGAGGGTGCAATGTATTATCATTGCATTGAGATAATCTCTATATAGTAGCTCTAGATAAGAATTAAGCAATGAGGTTCTGGATCATTTGTAGGATATTACTGATTGGTTCATCTACCCTGAGCATCACCCAATTACTGTATTACTGGTGTGCAAAGAGAGTTCCAAGGAATGTAGAGATATTGAATGACCTTCTATTTAGCAAATGGTCAGGAATAAAGACTGCTAGGATCATGGAAACTGCCAGAGAATCAGTTGAAAGAGAAAATGGTCAAGGACTTCATAGCAAGTGGCACATATGGATAGCATATCTCACAACAGTACCTGGCTGCAGCCCCTTGGCCCAGACCTACCTTGAACCCAGCCTAGAAATAGTAGATCAATAAAGTCAGGCTTGACATATGATAGCATTTGGTGTTAATTCAAACCTAAATCTTTGTTGAAAGGCCAGTGCCCAAGATTCTAGTTTGGGTTTCTACAGAGGTGGAGTTATGCCAGAGTCACAACATGGGGTTTAAAAGGGTGTGGCTTTGACTATAAACATGCTGAAGTCTGGTCCAGGTCCTGGTCCTGGTCCTGGTGCTGGAATGCTGTAAAGAGTTGTGGCCTGAACCATCATGTTCAAGTTCAACTGGTTAACCTGGCTCAAGTTGCACCAACAGTTAATGCCATTAACTGAGATGGAGGTGGAAACTGAACCAGTGTCCCTCTGATTTTTACATTGACCTTGAAGAGAAAAGAGGTGATAGTTAATATGAAATAAGAAATCTCGTGACTATAGTTTGTAGATGATAGTTTTAATTATAAAGGTGGTGCAAAACTCAAAATCTGTGGAATTGCTTTCAAATTGTTTCAGGCTCAATAAGGAATACCGGAGCAATAGGCATTGAATGCTTACACGCAATGGCAGCGGCAGCATTTAATTCGAGGCAATACAAAGCATAACTACATGAACACCCACCGAGAGAGAATAGACAACCTGTACTTGATGTAGCGTTGTATGCATTTAATGTTCGGTACCTTGGCGTTAATAAGGACTCGTTTGAAAGGGCTGAAGCTTTTTAAAAGAAGCTTAAACAGAAAGCCCTTGTCCTTTTTGGCTAAAGGACGGCAGTTTTGGGCTTTCCATATTTTTCACCATATATTATTGTTTATAGGCTGTTTGCCTGTTGGGTGGGTTTCACTTTCACCTCACAAAGCCAAAAGCTGCCACGGGAAAATCCTCTTAAACAACAAGAAAAACTTTGGCTATTGAGAACGTTATCGTGTGAGTGGGGTAAAATAGTAATTGTACTGTTTTTTAACCAAAAAATTAAACATGGATATAAATGGGTTAGTGTCCAGTCCAAGAACACTCTCATGTCTCAACAATTTAGGCTGTTAGCCCCCAACAGCCGAAGTTAACTCTCTCAAACAGGGATCGAATATGTTCCCGTATGAGAAGGCTGAAGCACAGCAGCTTCTGGCTTTCCGATGTGGGCCCTGGATAGATAGACCTTAAGCTACGTTTGGTGAAAAATCTGGATAGACCAAGTTGACTGTCAATCAGTCATTTTTTGAGCTATCTGCTTCAGCCTCTTTAAATAGCTTATCTCGTGCGCTTCAAATCAGCCAAACCGGCTTAACTCTCCCAAACAGACCTTAAATGGCTAAAGTGCTTCGATAACTTCTGCATTCAGCGACCAGACACCAGATATTGCGAAGGTGAATCAAAGGAAGACAGAGACAGAAGATCAATCATGCTTTTTGCATCACCCTAACAACAAAGAAGGAAACTCTCATTACCTTCATAAGTTGTAATCCAAACAACAAAGCTTTGGCATCCATTTCAGCGGGGATTTCTCCTTTTATCATAGCTGTACGTCTGGGTATGAACTGGTCCTCCCAATCTTGTATAACAATTCCAATTCCAACTCCAAAACTAGAATATCTTGGATTTTGTGCATCAGCTCTATGATCAGAAGTTGGTTCCTAAAATATTAGGCATTCCTATGTTCCCATAAATGCCAAATGATTATCACCCACTTTTGTAGCTTTTCTGCAACCCAAATAGTCGTCCAGTCCTCAACTAATTTGCTTGACTCCATCACATTTGGTTTGTACCCAAATGTTTTTTATAATTTTTTGTGCTTTTATCTTTTTAAAATTTTTATTATTTAATTATGACATCATGAGTTGAATCATTTGATCCATCACCTGAATAGGAAAATTGTTTATTTTTTTGCTAATTTTAAATTTTGTAGTTAATTTCCATCATTAATAAAAATGCTTCTTGTTTATCATACTTATTTTCAGAAAATTTTTATTTTTTTTGTAATTCTTATATATTTATTTGTTTTTCAATTTTATTATTTAAGTACAACATTTAGGGTTGACCCATTGCAACCTAGATGGTTAAACTATTTACCCATCACAGACCAAAGAATGGTATTAAATACATAAGTTTTGTATTCTTAAAATTATTGTATATATATTTAATTAGTAGAATCTATTGCTGGAAAATAAAAATACCATGGTAGACAGTATGTCCCTTGAGGATCCAATAAGATATTTAAACTGTTTTGTTTAATAAAATAATCATTTCATGTGTTATTGGGCATGTTTTTATGATTAGCCCTTTACTTACATTTTAAGTTTATCTTAATTATGAGAATAATGGAGACAAACATAATCAACATGTAAACTAAATTATTCTTAGCTAGTGGGTGAACTTGGGCAGCAGCCTAACAATAGGGGTGCTCATGGTTCGGTTAACCAAATGTGGGCCTATTTTCCAACCAAGCTGGTACCATCGGTTTTTGGGAAACTATGAACTGAAATCAATCAATTAACTAGTTGATTGGTTTGGTTTTTGACCGGCTTGGTTCTTCAATTTTTTTTGATTTTTTTATATTTATAATATTTTTAAATATGCACATACACACACACACACACACACCAGTCAGTTTGATTAATCACTGATCAACTAAAATTTTCAAATTGGTTTTTCTGCTTTTCGGCCTATGATGAGAACTCCTACCTAACAAGGTTTATACTTGTGCTTCCTTGTGGAATGAACAATTTGTCTCAATTGCTAGGGTGAGATCCAAAGCACACATATAGATGTTTGAGAAACATTGAATTGGACCATTTCCTAGTTGTTCTTATACTTTATGATTTAGTGGAACATCTGAATTGTTGAATGTAATCTCACACTTGAGAATGGTACTTTGTTGATCTTTAAGCTTATCTACTTTTGATATACTAACTAGAGATGTAAATTGGGCCGGATTAGGTCAGGTTGAGGCCAACCCTCGGGTTGGGCTAGGCTCAGGTTGGGGCCAAGCCAACCTTCCTCCCTTCCCTTAAAATCTCGTAGAACTTCTTAATCTTAAATCTTAACTCAATTTTCACTACATATATTAATTCTATGTTTTATTAGTATTTGTTTGTTGATATTTTTATTGGTTCTTTAAGTACAAAATTAAGAAAAAAAAGTGTTTGAAATGATTATAGTTTATTATGAGTTATAACTTATAATAGATATTTTATGGACAGCAAGCTATGGGTGGCAAACAACAATGAGGAGATAAATAATAAAATATTCAAAAAACATAAAAAATGTTATTAAGATTATGATATTTACAATTAGGATTAAGTGAAGCGATTATTTTAAAAGAAATAAATGATAGTATGTGATAGGGGCAATACAACTTTCATGCATCTAAACAAATCAATTTATGATATCATTATATATAACATATATTTATATATGATATGTACTATAAAATCGGGTTCGGGTTGGGTTGGGTTGCCCAAGGGGTCAACCCTAGCCCAACTTGAAGTAAAGCCGGGTTCATAAATTTCAATCCTAACCCTAACCTGAGCATCAACCCGACTTTTTCGGGTTGGGTTAGAGCCAACCTGGCCCAAGTTGCAGCCTTAATACTAACTAGTGAAGTCCTTCTGGGGTTGATACCTAGGTATGTTGGAGCTCATGAGAATAAGATCGAAAAATGATCATTGTGATAGGATCTGCCACTCTGTTAGACAAAGAAAACTTCATTGGTAATGTCATCTCTAGTGAAAACTTAAATATACCAATAATGGATTTCAAATGATGTTTGAAATCTGTTTTGCAAAATATATATTATATTAAGTAAATAGTTTGTTTTGAAATCACTTTGCAATATAAATTTTCACGAGATTCTATCATGGTAGAAGACATAAAATTGGATATCTTACTATGGGGAGTAAGTCCTTCCCCAATTTAGAGCCTTTAGGCCCAAAAACCTGATAGATGCATTTCAGTTAGAACCAATAGCTTTGGCATCTAAAGATGGTAGAGCCCAAAAGCAAAATAATGGTTAGTGATTGGGCCATATGATCCAATTCTCCTTATATTGGAAAAGATGTTTGATCATAGTGGAATCCCTTTCCTTCCAAGATTTGATACAGAAGAGGAGACATCTATATTGGCTTCAACCAGAGTCTTGTGGATCCCAAATATTTTCTTAAGATTTAGAAATTTTCTTGAACTGGTATAACCAATTTTTTCAAAGTCCTACTGAGACTATGGACCTGTTTAGGAGGGCTTCAACGTTTCTTAAGCTGCTGCATCGAGTGAGCCACTCGAAGAAGCTACCAAAAATAGCTTCATCGAAAAGTTGATTTTTCAGTTTATAAATATGCACATCTTTTGCTTTCTGGGGTTTTCATCAAATATGGCTAACGGCTTCTAGGCTTTGCATGTGGGGCCTACCTTGCAATACCATAAGCTGCTGCATGAAATCCCTCTCAAACGGGCACTAGGATTGTAACTAATGACTATCTAATAGCCAATCTTAATCTTCTAAGACTTTGTCCTACCAAGCTTTATTACAAATTTTTCTAGGTATACAAATAATCATAATCTTCACACCCCCTCCATGTTATATGTATGCTTAACTATACTCAATAGGAGTGATAATTTCTAACCTAACAAACTTGTAAGTTATACCTACAGGTTCAAGAAGCAAGAAGCATGTCTAAATGTCCAATATGGGTTGAGTACTTGAGTCACTCATTAGGTCAAATAAAAGGGATGGGTCAGGTAGCGTTATGACTTATGAGTACTCATTGGATCAATTACATGAGAGAACTCGCCCTTTTAGATGTATTTCAATACATGGTTTCAAACCGTCATTGACCCGGACAGTCAGATTATTTGGCCCAGAAACTGTTCAATCAACCAGTTCTGTTTCTCCCATGAATTGGAATGTTGCCAAAAACTGTTGACTTGGCCAGCAACATGCTGACCTGGGCCATCGAATCATCAATCCATTCGACCTAGACAACGGTTTTAGCCATTTTTAATGTTTTTTTAAATGCAACTGGTCATCCATTCAGACTGGACTATCGACCACTGACCCAGACACCGGTGGCCAAAGTGGTTTCGGTTCCGGGCCAATTTTTAAAACATTGATTCAATATGTTCATCTCTCTCTCTAATTCTTTATTTATTTATTTATTTTTACAATTGGGTCTAATTTTTTATATAAATGGGTTGGACCAACCTAAGTGATATGAGGCACCTTGTGAGAAACCCAAAGACATTTCTCAAATCAGGTAAAATTTTAGGTAAATGGATTGCCACGTTCCTACAATGGCAATGCTCTAATGCAACAACGATTCATGGGTTTCAAATATTTAAATGGGTGGATTAGGTTGGGTTGCAACCAACATACATGTTAGAAATATGTGTTACTAATGGGTGTGGGTAGTTGGTGGATNGGTGGATTAGGTTGGGTTGCAACCAACATACATGTTAGAAATATGTGTTACTAATGGGTGTGGGTAGTTGGTGGATGGTTTTTTTTTTTTTCTTTTTTCCGACCGGACACGACCCAACCCAACAGAATTCATCCATTTGACACCCCTACCAATAGACTTTTTGTTTTTTTTTTTGAAGGCCTCATCATGGTGTAGACTAGTTTAAAACCTTAGCACATTACTTGTGTTGAAGATGATTTGAGACATGAATTTGGTGGTCCGAATATTTGTTTAGAAGATCATCACTATAAATCAAAGAGAGTACAACACTTGCATAGAAGATCATCCTTAAAACTGCAATATATGTCTGGTTTCAACTTTCAAAATCATCAACAAGTAAGCATTTTACGAGGTTCCTTAAAAACTTTGATACAACTTTCTGCATCTCACTTCGCTATTTCAGTATTAGATGACTTCTCTTGGGAAAATTGAGAGAAACTTATTGAGCATAAATATAGGTGTGGGTAAGTCAAATTAATTGTGTTGTCACCCAGTTCACAAATGGAAACGTGTCTATATAAGAAAAATATAAAAGGAAAATCTTAAAAACAATGCTCATGCTAAATATATAACATGATCACATTATCTAACTTAATCATATATCCCAAGAACATATAACAGGCATCAAACATCAATGTCATCTTCCATCTCATACACTGCTTGCAGGGGACCGCTTCCTGATACAAAACTGGTCTCTATAGGATTGGTAGGCCAGTTTCCAAAGAGACACACCTGTGGTTCAATCCTGTTCAATCGATTCCATTCCTCATCTGAGAGTGACCAGTTGAAAATGTCTATGTTTTTCCTGATCCTTTCAGGATTCAGACTGCAAGGTAGGACACTTGTTCCTCTTTGCAGTCCCCAACGCAGAATAACCTACCAAAGTTTAAAGTACACAGATCTTGTTAGTTTTGCTATTCTATCATGAGTACAAGCATTATGCATATGGATATACCAGTAAATGTGTATGTGTGTGTTGCACATTACAATTTTGACGATGAAGATGATGATATTAATAACAATAATTTTATTGTCCTTATCAGAATCTCCTTGTAGCTTTTTCTCTTTGGTTTGATATGTTCTTCCTTATAGTTTATATCAATGCTTCCAACCTGCAATCGAATTGGAATGTGGACTGGCTAACCTATCACCTAGCCAAATTTTTGGGTTCATTTCACTCCAAACCACTTTTTTACAAAATACCATGGACCCGGCTCACAACCCAATAACTTCACTGGTTAGACCGCTAACCTCTTTGATATGATCAATGGGTCATAGTTTAGACAACAATTTTGTTTTTTCTTTTTCTATTTTTACCCATTTTCATCATTAATAACAATTATTCTCATTTACGACACATTTTTATTTAGTATGATGATTAATATAATATTAAAAGACATGCCCAATTTTTTAAAAAATTTTATGAAAATTTCTATATTTTTTTTTGTATTTTTTTTTTATTATTTAATTTATGGCATCACAAGTTAATTTGTTTGAGCTGGATGATTGAACTGCTGACCTACCACCGGGTGGGAAGTGTAGTTCCAAACTTCCAATTGGTTTCAAAAGCATTGGTTGTCTACCAGTGTTTTTCAATACATGGTCAAATTGGCCAATTAGGCCAACTATCACCCAACTAAGATTCTAGGGTCCTTTTTACCACTAAACTGCTTGCCTGCAATAAAAAAAAAAAAAGGGTTGACTTGGTCAATAACTTGGTGGCTGGGCTAATTGAACCATTGAACTATTTGACCAGGTTAGCAGAGTCATAGATTAGCTATTAATTCTCAATCTTTTCTTTTTGGTATTTATTTCCATCTTTTATAAAAATAATTATTATTTATCACATTTACTTTTGTTTAATATAACGACTATATAATATTAGAGATGTGCCAAAAATTTTCCACAAAATTTCTATAACTTTTGTATTTCTATAATTATTATTTATCACACTTACTTTTAAGATTATGACATCATGAGTTGACCCATTTGACCTAGTGGTTAAACTGCTGATCCACCACCATGATAGTAAAACCAAAAACGGTTCTTTTTCCATGTCAGTTTTAAAAAAATTTGTTTTTATACCATTAAAATCATGGGGTATATGGTCAATTATGGAATTTAATGGTTAGAAATAAATACTTTAGATATAGGAATTAATGAGAGAGAATGGGAGTTAATACCTTGAAAATAGGAGTTAAAGAGAGAGAATAGGATGAATTGAATCTGTTTTTTTTCTTCGTTTTCTGAATATGAAATGCCATTTATCAGCAGTCAGTAGTCATATATCTTCTTGGTTATATGTATGTAATGACCAGAATGACTCGAAATATTCAATGAACTTTGTATCTGTTTCTCACCATAGATATATTCTAATCAAAAGGGATGTTTTTTTTTCAGTTTCCTTTTTTCTCTCTAAATAAAAAGACCATTTCAATTCAATGTCCTTTGAGATAATTACCACATCATGATAAACTGTCCAATTCAATAAAAAAACATAGAGGAATAGTCAAGTTTCATGCTTTAAACATGATAATTCGTACAAATATTAATGAGCATGCGTATTGAAGCACATAAAAGAAAACTACTAGTTTAAAGACTTAAAATCTCACAGAACAGTGTTTTAGCTTATGCCATTAATTTTCCTAGGAGAGTTAACTAATGTAGCTAAGAATGTGGATCAATGAAGTGGTGCAATGAGGAAGTGGGATTGCACCCTAGAAACAAAGAAGAATCTCCTAGGTCAGATGTGTCTTTCTCAAACAATAGGCAAAATTGTTCCATTTTAATTAAAAAACACTAATATGAAAATTTCCTTCCATGATAAGGAAAAAAACTCTATGTGTGTTTAAAACTTCAAAATGCTTTTCTCTAATATAAGCTTCCTAAGAAATAGATCATCCACAGAATTTATCTGTGGTTATACTTAAAGGAATATGTTTTCCAAAATATAAATAGGAAAATTGTTTTATAATATATAAAAAATAAATTTCATCCGGGACATGACAAGAGCTCTAATTTTAAGCATACAGAAATCCATTCTCTTTTTTTTTGTAATAATTATAAGCATAAGAAGAAAAAGAAAGTGAAAAACCAGTCCAAAATTTTGCATCTAAAGCTCAATTTCTAGAATCCAAAGAATGACTGGAATAAAAGCAATTAACCAAGTACCTGCTCAGGTGTTTTCTTGTGGCGATCTGCTATTTGTGCAACAACAGACAACTTCATCATGGGTCCATGTACAGATCTTGATCTTCTGAATGTCATACGTGGAGTTCCAGGTTCATCTTCTCCACCAGATCCACTGTCAGGTCCTCCAGGATTGGATGCTGGTACACCTAAAGGAGTGTGAGCAGATACATGGATTCCTTTTGATTGACAGAATCTTACAAGTTCTTCTTGTCTCCAGAAAGGATGCAACTCCACCTAAAATAATCCAACCATACATTAATCAGGAGCCTATTCAACAGTCCAAAGCTTCAACTGCAGGTAAATAAAAGGAATAATGGTATTTGAATGGATTAACTTCCTTCTAAGATCTATACAGTTCAGTGTGACGAGTAACTAAAACTGCAACTTCAACATGGACTGCTGTCTGGTATGTCTAGTTATAGTTTGTTTATGTTTAAAGCTTCGGAATCGTTGAATAAGTAGGATTAGAGTATTCTTCGAATTGAAATAGGACTTTAGTTTGAATCCTACTAGGATTATTTTCATTTTTTTTATTTGATCAGAAGTTCTACTAGGATTGTTATGAGCCTAACAGTATGAGTCCTAGAATTATTATGAGTTTGAAGTCTACAAATACATATTGACGTTCTAGACAAAGATCAATGAAGTTTATTGAGTTTATGCTAATTATGGTGAGTGATTTCCATAATTACTCTACTACCAGCACCTGGATGAAGCATAGACTTATCCTACCAAATTCTCTGTTTTACCTCAAGATCTTGAGATTGATTGAATGAGTAGAATCTTTGCAAGTTCATATGCAAGTTTTGCTTGGGTTCAAAAATTGGATGGGTAATACTAACCTCCCTGCTCTTAGGAAGAGGTTAACGAGAACATTCCCACATTTATCTCATAAAAAAATGCCCTTCTAGATTATCATCTTTCTATCCAATCAAAATTCATTCAGTGAATCCTTCATCTATTTTATATTTTTTTTTTCAAACTTAATACTTAATACTAATCTTTTATCTATTGGTACTTTGGTAGCATTGCAACGACATTGTTTACTAACTTTTTTTTCCTAATCATTGTGTTTTCCAGAACATTGCCTCAAAAGACGATTAGGTTAATAGATGGTGTTTATATCCTGGATGTTGGGTCCTCACCTTTTGTTACCGGATGTCCTTCTCTTCATGTTGGACATAATGTTTCTCCAGAGTCTGTTGATTGGATACTGTTTTGGTATATTCAATTTGGTCAGTTGTCCTTTATTTCATTGAAGTTTTTGTTCCCTGCTTTGTTTGAGTCCATTAATTTATTTAGTCTTCAGTAGTTCAGTGTAAGAGTTGTCAACATTGATGCATTTTATAATCTAAATAATAGAAGATGTTTCATTGTCCTTCATTTCATTGATGTTCTCCTTTTGATCTTGTTCATACAAATGTGTGGGACCTTATAATGTTGCTTGTAGGTGTGGATATTGTTATTTGTTATTGTTTGTGGATGATTTTTCTTGTTTTTCATGGGTGTATTTAATGTATTCCAGGTATTAGGTTTTTCAACTTGTTTAATCTTTTCATCAGATGGTATTAACATAATTTGGTGTTAAGAAAAAATTTTTAGATTCAATAATGCCAAGGAGTATTTTGAGAAAAATCTTGCATCCTATTTGAATTCTTATGGTGTAATTTATCCAAGTTCTTGTGTCTACATTCCACAACAAAATAAAGTGCAGAACACAAGAACAAACATATTCTTGTATGTTGTGTTTGTTCAAACATATTCTTGAGGTTGCCAGGGGGATTATGTTCAGCAGTTAGATACGTAACACCCCTTTTAGTTTGATTTATTCCAAAGTTTGTCAAGTGTGTTTTCTTGGGATATGCATTTATCCAGAAGGCGCATTATCGTTTTGATCTCATAGGTGGTATACAATTTGTTTCTATGCATGTCACTTTCTTTGAGTCGACTACTTTTTTTTTTATACTTTTAGCATGAGGGTAGACTGGTTTCCAAATGATATATTCAGATCTATGGGATTGATTATGAAGAGACTTTCTCTCTTATAGATAAGATGATATCTATTCATGTTCATCTATCACTTGCTTCTCATTATATTTAGCCTCTTTGTCAACTAGATGCCAAGAATGCATTTCTTAATGGAGATCTTTATGGAGAGTGTGTAAGCTCATGGATATTCCCACCTGATTTTTACAATGACTTACCTAGGAAGAGTGCTCAAGAAGTCACTAAATCATTATATGGCTCAAAACAGTCTCCCCGTGCTCAGTTTGACTGTTTCTTGGTGCTTTACTAAGGGTTGGTTATTCTCAACTTCAGCCTAATCATATACTATTTGTTAAGAGGCAAGAACAGTCCAATACATTTTGATTGTTTATGTTGAAGATATTATGTCCTTATTGGAGATGATGAGCATGGCATTGCTAATCTCAAAAAGTTCTAGGAATGGGGTTTGAGATTAAGGGTCTTGGACAACTGAGGTATTTCTTGAGGAACAAGGTAACTCGATCTCATCATAGCATCTATATCTCTCAGTACAAGTAATGTATTAAATCTTCTCAAAAATACAGGGAAACTAGGAGCAAAACCCGTTGATACTCCTATTGATCTTAATCACAGGACCAGTGCCACAGAGGGGGAGTTTCTTGGTGATTGTAGGATGTATTGAAGGCATGTTGATAGGCTGTTATATTTATGCACGACTCAACCTAACATAGCATATTCAACAAGTATAGTGAGCCAGTATATCATATCATGCACCTTGCACCACTCATCTTGCAGTTGTGTACATGATCCTTACATATTTAAAGGGCTGTCCAAGGAAGGATATTCTATTCTCTAAGCATGATTAGTTGTTTTCTCCTGATAAATTTCTAATCATGCTCTAAGCATGATTAGTTAAGGATAAAAGTGTTTATAGATATAGATTATGCAGGCTCCTTTGAAGATAGGAGGTCTACTTCAAGTTTCTATGCATTTATTGGAGGAAATTGGTTTCTTGGAACGGCAAGAAGCAATGTTTGGTAGTTCGTTCCAATATGAAGGCAGAATATAGGTCCATGGCACATGGACCCTCAAAGGATTTATGGCACATCGGGAGAGTTCAGCACAACTGCACCAAACATATTGAGGTGGATTTTGTCATTTTGTTAGAGAGAGGGTGTTGTTTGGGAAGTTTGTCTCCCTTATGCGAGGATAGATCAACAGCTAGTAGATGTTTTCACCAAAGGAGTTCCTTGGCTTACGTTGCAGGCTACTCTTGGCAAGTTAAGAATGTTAGACATTTATTCCCAATTTGAGGGGGGAGTGTTGACAGATTGACATATATCCTTTTTATTTATTATTGGATCTGATATTATTTGATTCTTATTTGTGGTTAGTGGGCTATTAGAATGTTTTTATTATTGGGCCCATTGGCCATGTTTTCTTATTTGTTGTTGCCACCTTATTAAGGATATAGATGTAATTTACCTTTTAATAGTAAATTAATATAAAAAGTAGTGGGGACTCCTTCAACCCCCACAACTTGGACTGTTCTTTCACTCTCTTCTTTATTATCTCCTTTCTCTTCTCTCTATTTGCTGCAATTTCCTGCTATTTTCAGTTTTCTTGCATTGTTCCTCATTGATTTTTCTTGCTCAACTAATTCTACTAAAAGCTTGAAGTAACCCAGTTTAAGCAGTGGACCAAAATCTTGATCAAACATAATTTTCTTTGATAGCTCAAGATCAAACATAATTGCATCTTTCTTTTGGTCTATTGAAGATTTTAGTCATACTCACATACAATAAATAAAACGAAACTGCAAAACTAGTTAACTACATGGCCTTTTAGATTGCAGTGATTGTCCGAACAAAACAAAAAATCTTGTCGAATCCTCTTCTTTTCCTTAATGATTGGTAGGCTTTGTAGAAAGATGAAACAGAGTTATGCAGTCAGATAAACATGACTGCCGCTGGATCACTTAAGAACAGACATGAGAGAGAAAGATAACACTAGTTTGGTTCATGATAGAGTTGAAGAAAGGGAAAGTGACATGGGTTGCTTTAAAAAGACCTGCCCTAGTTTTAGAAATTGTTTCTAAAAAGGATGGACTATTTGGTTGTAAAGATCTGGGAAATGTTGGTAGCCTTACCTTAAACCCAGGGAGATTAAATTTTCTCAAGTTGAATTGTCCAGCTTAATAGCTACCTAATTTGATTGTGGGTGTACATGTTACTACACAGAAGCCTAGAAAGAGGAAAAATAAAATGAAAAATACAGTTTTACTGCACTTTCTAGTAGTATATAACATCATGATGGGTATTACGATAAATGAACTTATATGAGAAGAAGAAAACAAAATGGGGATAAATGAGATGTTCTCACCATTGAACTAAAGATTCAACTTTTGGAGAGTGATTTGGTGCAATATGAGGCCTAAAAAGTTAAGAAATGGTTGAAAAGGATTTTAGGTAGTAATGATTTGAACGGTATTGAATGCTATCATATCATGAATTGGAAGATGACGTTATATATATAGCAAATCTGGAAACCTGTTTGCAATGAAGCCTTTTAAGTAAATCTTCTTTTCCTTATTTCAAATTTCTACAGCATAGTGCAGGGGCCTTGCTGTTTTGACCAAAGCTATGTTTAAAAAGGAGAAGCTGGAAAAAATATAACAAGAAAGCTGCAAAAGAAGAACCAGAAAAGAAAGGCAAATGGAGGTAAACTGAAAACTAAAGATTTTATAGAGGGTAAAATGAAATTATGGCCCAATGGTAAAATGTGTATCTTGGAAACTAGGCAACTTGGGTTGCCTGAAAGTCTAAGTAGCAAACAGGTTTCCAGATTATATATATATATATATATATATCCAAATCCAAGTCTTCTTATCAAATGTTGAAATTCAGCCTCAGATGATGAAATTTTCAACTGTGCCCGGTAGAAGATATGGTCCCTGATAGACAAGAACCTTTCTGCATGATTCATGTAGTCAACTTCAAATAGTTTTCATTTTTCATTTTTTTTCTGGTAAGTATAGCTAATACGCAATTCTGGTACATACAAGTTCTGTGATCTTGGCTTCTCATGTTTCTAATTTTGAAGAAATATGCAAGTGACCATCCATTGAGCAAAACAATTGGTTCTAGTGGTATGTTCAATTCCTAGAAGAGAATAAAAAATAACAAGCAAATAAACATTGTGCTAACCTGATTTACTGCTGGTACAACTTTTGAAAATTGAAGCAATTCTTTGATCTGCTGAACACTGAAATTACTGATGCCAATAGCTCGAACCAAACCAATCTCCACTAGACCTTCCAGGGCCTTCCATACCGGCTTCAATCTATGAGAAAATTGCCGATATTCACTCCCCGACTTTGAAGGAGGATCGGTAGCATCACCAAATGCTGAACTCTCAGGCCAATGCACTAAATACAGATCCAAGTATGATACTCCAAGGTTCTTAAGAGAAACCCTGACAGAATTCTCAATTCTCTTGACAGAATTGGTTGTACAATACAGTTTAGAAGTTAAGAAAACATCCTCCCTCTTCAGGCCACCTCTGAAAGCTTCACCCAGTGCTTCGCCAACTTCAATCTCATTCCCATAAAGGTGGGCACAGTCTATGTGACGGTAACCAACATTCAGAGCCATTTTCAAAGCTTCAATGCAAAGGTCTCCACCACTCTGCCATGTTCCAAGCCCTATGGCTGGGATCTTTTGCCCAGTATTCAATACATAGTAATTTCCTGTCCCCCCTCCTTTTCCTTTCATATTCCTAAACTCCTTGAGAAGAATCAAAGGGAAAAGTAAAACCAAAACAACAGAAAAATACTAACAAGCTGTAGAACAGAACAAATTGCAGAGAATTAAACTTTTAGAATGGAAGACCTAATAACTTGGATACTCAACCAAGGAAGAGTAAAACCCAAATCAATGAATTAACGAAAGAATACAACAGCAAGACAGAACAGTAGAGGGAAAAGGGAAAAAAACACGAAAAAAAAAAATCCAACAAGTCAAGAATTATGAATATCAAAGAGTAAGACACTAAGGCAATCTGAGTAACAAAGAGTAAGACCGGATAATCCTAAACCTTGGGGAGGAAGACACAACTGGCCGAAATCAAACAGAATGTCCTTACAAAGTCAGCAATGGATGGAAGAAATTCAGTTCAAAGAAAAAAGGCGAACAATCCAAATCCTATGCAGGAAAAAAGAAAACTTTGATGAGCCCCGAGAAAAAAACTGCAACTACCCAAACAACTTCAGCAATGGAAGAAACAAATCCAGATGCCGAAACAGCTCTCCTTCCCCTCCAAAAGAACCACCCGGGTAGGCTTTCACCTCCGAGAATCCCAATCTACACGTGTTAACATAGCTGCACAGTAGTCCAACGACCATAAACAAAGAGAAAACAAACCCAACTCGAGCTCATAATTTGCTAACAGATAAAGCAGCTCCTCAAGCAACTTTTTCCCCAAGATATCACCCAAAAGCCAAAAATCCTCTCTTCTATCGTCCTGTGCAGGTCACTGTACCCAGAGCCGTGTCCAACATCACCATCACCAAAGAGAAACAAAAGCAAGAGAAAAACTTAAGCAATATTAACATAAACCTCTCTGTATCTTAGAGGTTCACTATTCAGAAAATAAAGAGGTCTAAATAAATATTTGCAGGCAAAGAAAAATAAAGCGCGAGAAAAGTCAGGAACTTAGACAAAATTTCCAAGACTCCACCTTTCCACACCTAACTGAGACGACTGGAAATCAACCAACCACCTACCATATAATAACGACATTCATTGACGAGAGAAAACTCGTGGGCCTGCGCGGATTTAACGGAACTTCCCTTCTTCATCTCTCCCTGTCTGGGTCTCTGTCTCTCTCCCTCTCCGGGGTGTTGCTTCCTTAGAATAATATTCTGAAATCTGAGCAAAGGAAAGATGTAACGAAGCATCGCTTCAAGCCTTCCAACGGTAAAGAAAGATGTAAAAAAACTAAAAACGCTATCGTCCTCTGAACGAGTCGCGAACAACGAGGGTGGTGCTTTTTAGCCGTCGGATGGGTACCAGATTGGATCCTCGGCCGGATTCCTATCTGAGGGACAAGATAAACCCCCCACAAGCGTCTTTTTATATTACCAACCACCAAGATTCTCTTTTAACGGACAACCATTGTTAACTTAAACCGTTAATTTGGAATCTTTTTGGTAATACTGATATCGGAAAGCACCGATGTCTTAAAATATCTAAGCCTGTGTTTGGGTTTAGCCGTTTGGGAGGCTTTTTTCCTTTTGAGCGTTTGATGTGATGTTCTAAACGGGCTTTTACTTTGTAAAAACGGTTTCTCCAGAGCCTAAGTTTTTTGACTTTTTAGGGTTAAAATGAGATTTTTGGATTTTCTTTTCACTAAAAGCTATTTATATCCTGTTGAAATGGGACTTGCACTGACTGAAGCCGATCTCTTTTTGGGGTGTTTGACTTTTAATAAGTCGAAAAAACGCGTAATAAAAGCCGTCCCAAACACCTCCTAAAAAGAGATTCTCATTTCTCCCCCCTGCTTCCACAACTCCTCCCCCAACTTGGCTTTTTCCCACTACAAAATATGAAAATAATCTATCTTTGGGCGTTGAATGTTACCTTGGATTTTTCTGTCCAAGTAGAAAGCTGACATAGAAGATCCAGACCGTCCATTTCATAGGGCCCAGCCGAGTTTTTCTGTGTCCCCCAAAGAGGAAGAGGGGAGGGACCCACCATAACCCATTGCCAAAAATGGACATCTGATCAAATGGGGTTACATTTCAATTCTCTCTACATGAGATGGGACAGTGTGTTGTGTAGATTAGAGCAACTTTCACTTAAAACACCATTAAAAAAAACTGACCTGTCTAAGAGAGAGAGTGTGTGTGTGAGCCACACAAAATCACAAATAGTAGGCGGGGACCAAGTGGGTCTTTGTTTTGGGCTGCTTGCTCCAAGCTTCCACATGCAAGAACTGTTCATCAACAGAAGTCCCAGCCTGTTTGCTTGAGATGGGTCATGGGATGGATCTTCATTTCATTTCTGGTTTCTTTGTGGCTAAATTCCTCTCAAGAATAAACATGGTCCCATGGATTTGATTCGATTCAATGTTCCTCAGCACCATCAACATGCAAGAACATTGATTCAATCATTCAATGTTCATCTCCACACCTTGTATTGAACTATGTTCATGAAACAGTGCCTTAGACTCTGTCAGACTGGTTGGACCGGTCAGTCCTTTGAACCGGCAAACGGATAACCTGGCCAGGTCTGATTAACAGTCCCTAACCGATTATTAACCAGTGCCATAAATTAGTCTCAGAATCAGAACCAATTAGGAGCCGAATCTCCTGTCCACAAGAACTCTGTCCACACCTATCCACAATACACTACCCCCAGTGAATCGGGAATATCTCCCCCTGCATAATGCTATGCAGAGGATGAGATGTCCTTCATGTGTAATTGCGATAAACATGAAGAGAGTTCTCCTAGGCAGAAAATCTGGACTCAACCAATTATCCAATACATACCCGATTATAGTTGACATCCAAATTTCCCTATGATAATAACAACTTAAGAATTTATTTTTGTATAATAATAAAAATGGCTATAAAATAGTAAACTATTTATATGTTGATAGAAAAAGGGTTTTAACAAAATTATCTTGTATACTGTCTATCATATTTTATCCTTTTTTTGATAAAATATAACAAAAAAAAAGAAAACCAAAAAAACTTTTATATATTATTAACTATATAATCGGTTTAGTTCTTAATCCATTTGGAACAGTGACTGACCCAATTATTAATAATCTTAATCAGAACTGATATAATCAGTTTGATCAATTTAGTTCTATTTGAAAGACTTCACCCATTGACAGCCCTACCTTTGGTCTTAAATCTAACAATACTGTGATGGACGGTTAATTAGAATATTAGATGAGATTTCTTTTTTCTTTTTTCTTTTTTTATATTATTTTCTTTCCTTTCTCCTTAAGAATTGCAATTCTAAAAGCTTATAATCTTGGGCTTTGAATTCAATAGAGTGCATTTTTCACCAAAAAAAAAGAGCTCTTAGTTGCACGAGTACAATTCTCTTTCTTTTTTTTCAATTAGTGGATGCAATTAATATTAATTAATACTGTGAATTGAGTTTTATGATGTGATGTTTCTTGGTAAAATGGACCGAAATATTTTAGTTATTATTTCTACCCTTTTTATATATTAAAAAAGTTTTATTTTCCACTGCTTTTAATTTAATTTAATTTTGATATTAATGGAAATAAAAAGAAGTCTTCAAGAAGTGAAAATATAGCTCAATTTACAAAGTAGGAGCAGAGGATAGAAATAGAACTAAGTGCTTTAGACCGGCAGGAGCGTTGAAGAAATAGGACTGGTTGATTGAAGAACCAGGCAATTAGTTCTATTTTATCTTAAAATTGTATTTGGGCCAAAAATCATTGATTTGGTCAGCGACCTGTTGAATGTCGAACTGTCGACTTTTCAACCCGAAAAATGGTTTTAGATATTTTTTATTTTAATTACTTTTTCTAATTTTTTTAAATCAGAACGGACTGTTCATTCAAACTAGATGGTTGAACCGATGACTCAAAAACCAGTGGCCAAAACAGTTCCAGTTGTAGGTCGGTTTTTAAAATATTATTATTGGTAAGCAAATTCTTTCCTTCTTTGCATCATATAGACATCTATTGAGCTCTAATTCTCAGTTTTTGTTTTCTCTTTATTTATTAATGTGATTCTTCTGGTTTTTCATTTTAACAAGAACAATGTTAAAGCCATGATTTTCAAAATCGGACCAGACTGGATAGTCGGACTGGAGAAACTGGGAACTGGTCTGTTTTACACCAAAACTGTTATTTCGTTAAAAATCATTGATTTGGTCAGCAAACCACTGATTCAGGCGATCAAACTGTTTGAACCGTCCAACGGTTTTGGCCGATTGGCCATTTTTTATTTATTTTTTTTATTTTTTATCAGAACCAGACCGGACCGTTTGAATGACCAGACCATTCAACCCTAAAAACCGGACCCCTGACCATTTCTTTGTCCGATTCAATTTTAAAAACCTTAGTTAAAGCTGCATAGAATAAGAAATCAAGAAACTCCAAATCCAATGGACTAGTCCCAAAATGAATATTGAAAGCCTGCGACTCCATGATCATCAACCGATTAATTGTTGTGTTCTGTCCACTTCACGGAGACAATACAAACTGTGTTCTGGGTCCAAACAACAGATGGACCATTTAAGTTTAACACTTCAACTCGCTGATCATCAACCAACTAATCGAAGAGTTCATTTTTGCTAGGACAGTGTTGTAACACATGGCTAAAATAAAAACTTACGACCTTAGATTTATTGTTATGGGTCTATTAAGACGTTACTTCATCTTATTTAAATGAATTGGGATTTGTTACTCACAGAACGCTCCTCACACTGACTTTATAGATACATGTGTCTTCTTAATTGAGTATTGAAATTAGAAAATGAAAAAACCAGGGACCTATCTTATAAAAGGACTTAATTGTCCTTTGAATTAATTCCATCTATCATGAGTTGATGGTGGAAGGTATGTTAATGTCCTTTGTAAAAAGACAGGAGGGTATATGTTTTAGTTTTATGAGAAAACTCAGGGGCCTTTGAAATAATTTGACTTCTGCTAAAATGAAGAATGTTTCAGGTTTTTTAAGCAATTTTTCAAATTCCTTGCTTAGGAAAAACACCCAAAAATATGGAATTGACAATTCCAATTCCACTTCTAATAGTTTTTACCAAGAAAGATGAGAACACAATGCAATTAAGGCATTACGTATATAATTGCTGGCTGTTCCAAGTTGACATCTAGTCATCTAGATGAGAATCCTAACAGGACTACCTAGGGCTGCCATTCTGCCCATGGTTTTCAAAATAGGACCGGGTTGAACGGTCAGACTGGAAAAACCGGGAACTGATAAGATGATCGGTTCCATTTTTTACAAAAACTGTTGATTTGTTCAGTGAACCGCTGAATTGGGTGGTTAATCGTTCGAACCGTTTGAACATTTTGACCTTTTTTTGTCAGAACAGAGCGAGCGTTCAGTTCAAACGGTCTGACCGTTTGACCCAGTAATTGGACCCCTGACCGGGTCGGTTTTAAAAATCATGATTGTGCTAATGAATCCGTTCTACGTGACCAAATCGAACTGATTATATCGATTTTGGTTCTGTGATTTTATTTCAAATTAATTAATTGGATCGGTTCTGGTTCTTACTTGTTTTTGAACCAATTAAGACCCAAACATTGAGTTAATAATATATATAAAAGTATCCTAGTTTTTTTTGTAATTTTCATTATATTTTATGTCTAAAATAATAAATTTAATAGATAAGAATAAGATAATTTTAATTAAAATACTTGATTTATTAACATATAAACAATTTACTCTTTTACTATATTATCAAAGATAAAGTTTTAAGTTGTTATTAACATGAAAAATTATTGATATCAGTGCAATCAGGGGTCAATCCAATTATCTCAATTAATAATCGGGACAGTAACCAAAATACTTGATTTATTAATAAATCATATAAAGAAATTACTCTTTTACTGTCAATTTTATTACGATTATATTATCAAAAATGAAATTTTAAGTTGTTATTAACATGGAATATTATTGATATCAGTGTAATCAGGTCTAATAGGGTTAATCCAATTATCTCAATTAATAATTGGGACAGTTCTGGCCGGTTTAGGACTGGTACACCTTGCCCCGAACCAGATCCGACCTGTCGACAGCCCTAAAACTATCTTATAAAAAGTACGCCCTTGGCCTAAACACTGATCCTACAACTACAATATAGCCATGATACCCCCCTCCCTCTCCTTTTCAAAAAAAAAGGGCTTGTCTAGTCTGCTTTTCATGGTGTTCTGGATTTGAGTCAAAATAGAGAC